CCTCCAGCTCTTCCCTCACCTCCTCCTCCGCACCACCTGGGGCAAGCACAGCCCAGCTGGAATTTCAGCCCCGAGGTGGCTGCGGGGTGAAAGCCAAGCCAGCATTGTGCGGGGCCAGCGAGCGCTGCCTGTGCGGGTTCAGCCCGAGGACACAGCGCTGGGATTGTCTCGTCTAATCCTCAGACAAAAGGACTAAACGAGCTTGGTTAATGCCTGTTGTTGTCTGAGCGGTTTCACACCTGCGGGACACATCCTGCAGCCAGAAGGGAATAAAGACACCCGGGCAGGGAGCTCAGCACTGGGAAGCACCAGCTCACTCCAGGCAATCTCCATCCCAGACATCCCATTCCATTGGCATGAATGGAGCAGTGGGAAGACCTGGATGTGGCTTCTGTAAATGCATCTCGAGCACCTTGAAGTCTCTGAGGAATCAGCACACGCAGCTGCTTGGGCTTCCACAAGGCAAAGGACAAGGATCTTACCAGCTCAAGAAGCCCTGGAACAGGACTGAGGGCCTCCCTCAGAATCCATCAGAAGGAAAATTCCCGTTTTCATCCCAAAACCCAGGATGGAGCTGCTGTGGCCACAGGAGGAGTGGGGAATGTAAGACAGTCCTGGCAGAGCTCTCACTCCCAGTCCCTTGGCCTTTGTTTTTCAAGAGCAGAGTGTATTCCACATTCCGGAATTCCTTCTACACAACCTTCTGGAGAACAGAGTAGTTTCATGGAAGAGGGAAACCGCACAAACCACCAGAGGGTTTCTCAGCCGGACCCCAGTGCTGTGACCCTTTTGGCTGTTATTCCAGGGATGACCAGCTGTGCTGAAGGTTTGGATTGGGAGCCAGTGGCAGTGACACAGTGCTGAAGGGTAGCAGCACCAGGACACCAGTTCCCAAAGCTACAGCCCAGCTGGAGGAGCTGGAAGGATTCCTGCCTCAGCACATGGAGAGAGGGAAATGTCCTCCTCCATCCCCAGATGGACCCAGCATTATCCACAAATCCCACTGCACTTCTTTTCCCTGTTCATTCCAGGAGAAGAGACCAGATTTGTTCCCCCATCTGGTGCACATTCCCAGTACATAAGGAGGAGTTTTGTTTCCAGTACATGTGTCGGATCATGACCTCAGGGGGAAAGAGGAATCTGCATTTCCAGAAGCCACATGTAAATTCCCATTCCTGGCACTGCCACACACAGCACAAAGGCACCCAAACCAATGAAGATTCCATATAAATTGTTCACAGGATACACATTCCAAAGGGACAAGTCCAAATACTACAAATTTAACAGAATAGGCTTTTAAAATCAGTGTATTTAACCGTTAGAAACAGACACATACAGAAAGAGGAGGCCAAGCCCCAGGTCCCTGCTCCCCCAGCCAGTGCTGCCTCCATGCACTGGGAATGTTCCCGTGGATATCTTTGCTGGCAAGGGCCCGAGACAGTTGACAGCTGATTCCTGGCTGTGTGCAGGGCTGGGGCAGAGCCACAGGCCCAGGACAGCTCTTTCAGAGTGTCTGACTTAACGGAAAGGCATTGAGAGACAGAGGTTGTCTGTGGGTGACATCAGAGCAAGAGAGAGCAAGAGAGCACATGGGCACGGGAAGGACACCACGCCAACACCAGGGAACACTGGGGAGCTGCTCTGTCCCTGCCACTGCAGGAGGAAAGTGTGACAGGTCTGTGGGTCCCAGAGTTAGGATAGAGTTTGGAATTAGCTTGGTCCCATGGAGATCAACATCACTTCATCACTTGACAGACTCAGAGCTAAAAGCAAGGCAGGTTAAGGGCAGCAGAACTGTGTGTTGCACACATGCACTCTCCCTCCCTCTTTCCAGGCTGTCTGAGGTCCCAGCAAGGTCACTCAGGAGCTTTTGCCATCCACCATGTAGTAGCGATACATTAACCCTATGACCAGTGCTCCAAAGATGGGGATGAGCCACGTGGACCAGAAACTGTGGGGAGAGAGAGGAACAACAAACCCAAACATACACCAGTTAACAACTCATTCCCCATGTTCATCACTCACTACACAGAAGTTTTCCTGTGTCCCAGGGCTGACCCCCCAGACCAGGCAGCTCCTGCTGTCCCCACACACAGCCCCCATGAGGAGCCCCTGCAAGTGTGGCCTTGTGCCTTATAAACAGCAGCTGGAGGGATGGAGTTTCCAGCTTGGCACACACAGACACCAATTTGGGGTTTCTGTTGTTGGTTTGGGTTTTATTTTCCTTAAATAAGTCAGACTGCAATTTGTGTTATACAAACAGAGCAGTTGACTCCAGGATGGCAATGGCTGTGGCACAACAAACCACCCTCAGCAGCCTCCTGAGCAAACTCTCCTGCAGCAGCTGCTAAAAAACAGGGCCCTGTGCTGGTTTTAAGGGGTTTTAAACAGAGCTGGTTATGGTAAAACCCCACTAAAACTTTCCCATGGCTGTGCTGTCACCCCACAGCAACCACTCACAGCCCCTGTGTGCAGAGAGCTGCAGCCACAAACACCAACACACAGGGCAGGGAGTTCCAGCCCCTGGATGCTGGTTCTGCCCAGCATGAAGTAGGGAACATGGTCTCACATCCAGCTGCACCCTGGCAGCTCCCTTTGGCAGCTTATTTTGGAGTATCAGCTTGCAGAAGGACTGTGTAGTATATCCCCAGGGATTTTCCTGCCCTTTGGAGTTCACACGCAACTCTACACACACAGAGAGTCCCAACCCCTCCAGTTCTTACTGTTATTTTAAGGAGATACTATACCTTGCTTGGCCTGAGGATGTCATACTTGGATTCTGGAGGAGGAAAGAGGGAGTTAGCAGGGAAAAACGAACATTAAACATGTGCTAAGATGACAAGCCTGAACATGTGATTAAATACAAAGGAAACACCCTCTGCCACCAGGGAGGATGTTTGGGGGATGTTTGCCATTGTCTTCACCTCCACATTCTTTCCATCAAGCCAATCCCTCCCACCCAGTCACCAACTCCAGCCTGGAACTCACACCCCTCTCAAACAAGGCCTTGTTCAGTGCATCACAGTTTTGGGGGCTTTTTTTTTTTGTGCTTCCCCCTATTTATTTGTACATTCCCGATTCTCTCTCTCGCTGCCATCTTTAAATCACACCAGGACCTGCTTTCACAGCAGGTGTTGCCTGCTGGAGAGAGCCCTCAGCTCCACAGAATGTCCGGGAATTCTTCCTCAGAAGAGAAGAATACTTGAGAAAATATATTTAACTTGGATCCAAGGGAGCTGCTTGGATCATCACTGATTTCTGGGCACATTTTTGGCATGTGATTCTGTTTGTGAACTGGAGTTGAACCAACCAACCAATTTTAAGGCGAATATATGCATAATCACACAGTGCACAATCACACAGCCCTGTGGTATAACTCAGGCCCTACCCTGCCTGAGTGATCCTTTCTCTCCCTGC